TATCTATCTATCTATCTATCTATCTATCTATCTATCTATCTATCTATTTTTTTTAACCCTGAACAAAGCCAGAAACTATCTTTCAAGAATAAAAGTAGGCTGGGCGTGTGGCTCACATCTGTAATCCCAACACTTCGGGAGGCCAAGGGCGGGTGGATTGCTTGAGCCCAGGAGTTTGAGACCAGCCTGGGAAACATGGTGAAACCCCATCTCTACCAAAAATACAAAAAAAAAAAAAAAAAAAAAAAATTAATCAGGCATGATGGCATATGCCTATAATCCCAGCTACTCAGGAGGCTGAGGTGGGAGGATCACCTGAGCCCAGGAGGTCGAGGCTGCAGTCGGCCATGATCACACCACTGCACTCCAGTCTGGGTGACAGAGTGAGACCCTGCCTCAATAAAAGAATAAAAATAAAATAGAAACATCTTCAGACAATTAACTACCAACAGACCCTTACCAAAGAAAATCCTACTTCAGGCAAAAGAAAAATAAATCTGAATAGAAAGTCTGATATGCAAGAAGGAATGGTGAACAGAAAAGGTATAAATTCATTGTTGTATCTGAACAAATATTAACTGTATAAAACAATAAAAAATCATAAATTGTGGTGTTAAACTAGTTAGAACTGAGCACACCAAACAAAACAGCCTATAAATTAGGGAGGAGTGAAACAAGTAAAACGTTCTTTTTTCTTTTTTTGAGACAGGGTCTCACTCTGTCACTCAGGCTGGAATGCAGTGATGCTCAGCTCACCCCAGCCTTAACCTCCTGGGCTCAAGTGATCCTCCCCCCTCAGCCTTCCAAGTAGCTGGGACTACAGTGTGTACCACCATCCCTGGCTAATTTTTGTATTTTTTTTTTGTAGGGAATGGGGTTTCGCCATGTTTTCCAGGCTGGTCTCAAACTCCTGGGCTCAAGCAATCTGCCCACCTCAGCCTCCCAAAGTGCTGAGATGACAGGCGTGAGCCACTGTGCCTGGCCCAGGTAAAATGTTCTAAGACCCTTGTATCATTCAGGAAAAGGGTAAAACTACTGAACCTTGAGATTCTATTAAGTATATGTTTAAAAATATTAAAGGTAACCACTAACAGGATTTTTAAAATAAAGTACATATTATCCACAGTTGCAGAGAGAAAAAAGAGGTGAGAAAAGAATACAACTTAATCACCCAACTTAATCCTCTGAAAGAAGTTAAGAAAGGTACTTTCCCCTCCCTAAAAGATATAAAAACGGCTGTACCCTGCGCTTTAGGAGGCCGAGGCAGGTGGATCACAAGGTCAGTTTGACACCAGCCTGGCCAACATGGTGAAACCCTGTCTCTACTAAAAATATAAAAATTAGCCGGGTGTGGTGGCGCACACCTGTAATCCCAGCTACTTAGGAGGCTGAGGCAGGAGAATCACCTGAACCCAGGAGGCGGAGGTTGCAGTGGGCCAAGATCGCACCACTGCACTCCAGCCTGAGGGACAGAGTGCTACTCTGTCTCAAGAGAAAAAAAAAAAGATATAAAAAGGTAGGACAAATAACCTAAGATGGCATAAATAAATCCAAATACAACTAAAATCACAATAAAACCAAATGGACTAAATTACATAATTAAAAGACAAAACACAGTTCTGAACTGCACAAGAATGCATCCAAGATATTCCTCTCCCCGGTTTTCATCCTGAGGCCAGTTTAATAATCCTAAATCCCAGGGCCCACTCTCAATTCTCTGTACACACCAACATAACAACAATAATAATGGCTAACACAAATAGAGAGCCCACTATATGCCAGGAACTACTCTTAGTGCTTTTCATATATTAACTCATTTAATAGCAGGAAGTTGGATTTTACAGGTTGGGGACCAAATTTCACTCATACGAGCAGCAATAACTGGACCAAGAGGCAGCAGGTGGAACACTCATGGAAGGGAGACCATCCCCGGCCACATCGACCACTTACCCATTTCTCCCGGAGCCGGTTCACCTCCTCCTCATGGGCTGCCTTCTGCTGCTCCAAGGCAGTCTTCCCTTCTTGCTCAGCCCGGGCCAGCTGTCTGGCTGCAGCATCCCGCTCCTGCTCTGCCTGGCTCCGTTCAGTGTCCAGTTCAAGCTTCAGGCACCTCACTTCCCCTAACATGCCAGGGACAGGATCAGGCCTCTGCCTCCTCCTTTTACCTAATAAAACTCTCCCTCTCCCCTGACCTCATGAGCAACTCTCATCTCAGAGGACCTGCACCCTGCTGGAGAAGGACCTCTAATTGTCTCCCACTGTCTTCCTGTCTCTTCGACATCTCCATGGAATGGAGTGCGCCCCATCCCAGTTGGGTTCTCACCTTGGATTACTTCCTTGGCTTGAGTGACAGTTTGAATCTGGACCTCCAGCTGCCCCTTGGTGACCTCTATCACAGAATTTTGTTGTTGGGCTTCAAACAGACTGCTCTCTAGTAGCTCCTTGGCTGAGCTGTGAGGTTCAGGAATCAGAAGAGTTTCTTACCCATCAAGCCCCTTACCCTTCCTCAAGAGGAGTTGGGTTCTAAGTACTGGCTACCTGGAGAAGTTAGGGGGGCAATTATAAATTCATAATCAATTTAGGACCTACATACTTACGGCAGGGAGCTTAGCTTCACGCCTTTGCCTTGCAAAGCTCTCTGTGCTTGGCTGAATTGAGTCTGGGCCCTACCTGAGCCCCTGGAGTTGTTCAGCGAGGTCCTGCCGGTCACGCTCCACAGCCTGCAGCCGCACCTCCAGAGCCGCTTTCTCTCGTACTAGGGCCTCCTTCTCCTGGACTGCCCTGGCAAGCACTTCTTCCTGTCGCTTTGCCTCCTGATGTAGCTGCTCCAGCTGAGTCGTGGCTGCCTCCTGCTGGTGATGTGACTGAGGAGAAGAATGTGGTGAGAGATGGAGCAGAGCCTGGATTCCCCCTGGGGCCGCTACCACCAGGTTAGGGTCATTGGCTCTTCAGAGATTCTGGACCCAGCTCTGTGAGCCTGGATTGCTTACCCAATAGCATGCGGCATTTATCTATTTCCCTGATCAGCCCACAGATCCCCCAGCCCAGGAAGAATGCTCCCCTGTGAGCAAGACCCTGTGCTAGGGACAGCTTGACACCTGCCCCTAAGGAGGTTTTAGTCTTGAGAAGATGCACACATAATACTAGGAAGAAAGTCATCAATGTCCCGAGAAAGGGACTCTGTGAAGGGAGAATCGGTACAATTATTAGGACAATGAGAGGTTGTGTAGAGGAGAAAGATGACCTTTGAGCCAGGTCATTCACTGGCTCAGGAAAAAAATTTACTCAGTCCCTGTTATGTGGTAGGCACTATGTTAAAAGCTGGAGGAATAAAAACAACTAAGACATAGCTTTGCCTTCAAAGAGCTTTTGGTCTAATGGTGAAGACATATAAACAGATAATTATAGCATGAGGAATGTGGTGGTTAAAATAAGCATACAGTGCTATCAGAGTATAAGGAGAAGCTTCTAATTTAAACTGGGTGGTGTGAAGTAGTGGAGAATTAGTGAAGAATTCTTTTTGTTTTTTTGAGACAGAGTGTCATTCTGTTGCCCAGGTTGGAGTGCAGTGGCACGATCTCGGCTCACTGCAACCTCCGCTTCCCAGGTTCAAGCGAGATTCTCCTGCCTCAGCCTCCTGAGTAGCTGGGATTACAGGTGCGTGCCACCACACCAGGCTAATTTATGTATTTTTAGTAGAGACAGGGTTTCACTATGTTGGTCAGGCTGGTCTCGAACCTCTGACCTTATGATCCGCCCGCCTCGGCCTCCCAAACTGCTGGGATTACAGGCATGAGACACTGCGCCCAGCCTCAGTGAAGAATTCTTATAGGCATTCTTTTTTTAAAATTGGAAGATATACTGCAAACTAGTAACACTGATCATTTCTAGGAAGTAAGACTTTTTCACTTTCCAGATAATTTCTGTAGTGTTTTAATTTTTTATAATGAGCATGTATTACACCTAAATGTGATGGTGTCCATTTTGCCTTCTTACCTCGCTTAGTTTCTTTTGAATTTCTTCCTTCTCTTCTTGGATGCCCCTGAGATCTGCCTGCAGCTCAGCCCCAGCCTCCTCAGCTTTCTGCAGCTGAACCTCCAGGTGAGTGTTCTTTTCCCACAGGGCTTCCCTCCTCTTCTCTGCCTCCGCCAGGTCTACCTGCAAAGCGTTCCTCATCTGCTCTGCGGCCTCCATTCTGCTGCACACAGACTGGTTCTCCTCCTCTAACTACTAGCCAAAAAGGGAAGGGAGTATAGGCATCAAAAACAAATGATTAGTTTAGGAATCAAATGCTAAGACTGAAATCCAAGTGGGATATGAATCTATTCTCCAAAGATGAACAAAGGAGTGTTTATAAGATGGGGGGAAAATCCATTCATTTGATCTAGTGCCTATATTCCAGGTACTAGATGGGCTGGATGCTGGGGATGGAGATATGAAAGGCAAAATCCTGCTCTCAAATAATTCAGAATAATGGAATAGAAAACACTCAAGGAAACAGAGGTTGCAAGGAGGTTCCATCACTATAATTATAGGTTAAATTTGTAACCTATAGAAAAGATTCTTTGGGATTTAGGATCTTCAGCAGATTCTTTTCTGGTGATTGCTATTATCTCACCCAACAGAATTAACAACCTAGTCTTTGGCCAGGCATGGTGGCTCACGCCTGTAATCCCAGGACTTCGGGAGGCTGAGGTGGATGGATCACCTGAGGTCAGGAGTTCGAGACCAGCCTGGCCAACGTGGTGAAACCCCATCTCTACTAAAAATACAAAAATTAGCCCGGGACAGCCAAGTGCAGTGGCTCACGCCTGTAATCCCAGCACTTTGGGAGGCTGAGGCAGGTGGATCACCTGAGGTCAGGAGTTTGAGAACAGCCTGACCAACATTGTAAAACCCTGTCTTTACTAAAAATACAAAATTAGCCAGGTATGGTGATGCATGCCTGTAATCCCAGATATTCGGGAGGCTGAGGCAGGAGAATTGCTTGAACCTGGGATGCGGAGGTTGCAGTGAGCCAAGATCGTGCCACTGCACTCCAGCCTGGGCAACAAGAGCAAAATTCCATCTCAAAAAAAAATTAGCCAGGTGTGGTGACACATGCCTGTAATCCCAGCTACTCAGGAGGCTGAGGCAGGAGAACTGCTTGAACCCAGGAGATGGAGACTTCAGTGAGCTAAGATCACACCACTGCACTCCAGCCTAGGTGACAGAGAATCCATCTCAAGAAAACCCCAGCCAAAACCTAGTCTTCCTTCCAGAGGACATGGGCCCCTTCCCAACCTTAGTGACTTACCCTAAAGCCCAGAGCTGGTTCTGCTAGAGGTGTGGGAGGGGAATATTTATAATGGCTAAGCCCAATCCTTACAGTATTTGCTCTCCTCTGCATTGTAAATGTTCCTTTTGCTCATTTCAGACCTACATTTGGGAGCTGATCTGTCTTGCCCTCAGTTAGGGCCCAGCCCTTCCCTGGGGACCAGGAAAATCTTTGCTCACCTGGAGAAGCTGCTGGTTCAGCCCAACTTTATCTAAGGCCAAAGCCTCATTTAAGGCACTGAGCTTGACAGCTGCAGCCCGAAGATCAGCTACTTCTGTCTTCAGGGTGTTTTCAGAACTCGACAGCTCTGCAATTGACTGCTCTGCCTAAAAAACAGAGGGTTAAAGAGTTTCATATTTCCAATTTTCCTGGAACAGTGAACAGTTCACATTCCCAATACTGCTGCTTTTTGGTACGAGATTAGTTAATACTCCATTCCCTCTCCTGCATTCTAAACAAGTTTTCCCTTGATTCATTCATTAAGCAGTAAGACGGGAGCTCACAGTATAGAGATACCAATGTTAGGATAGAGAAATGACTATGATTGTAATGACGCCACAGAAAATGTAAGCACAAAGTGCTCTGGGAACTCAAAAAAAATATTAATATAGTTTGGAAGAGTCAAATATGCTTGGTAGAGGAGTTGATGATTAAGTTGGGAATTGAGAGATGAGGAAGAGTTTGAGCATAAAGGAGGAGGAAAGAAGTAGTGCAGAGAAAGGGAAAAGTATATGCAGAGTATTGGAGTCATGAAAGAACATGGAATAACTGAAAAGGCAATTACTGCTCTGTGGCAGGAGCAAAGGATATGAGATGTTTAGGAAGGGTTTTGCAGTAGAAGGGGAGGCTAAAACACAGTTTGGGGCACCCGACAAAAAGTTTCGATGTGGCACCACAGAGCTAGAAAGCTATTGAATGGTTTTAAGAGACTGACATAACCAGGTTTATACTTTAGAAAACCCATTCTAATTCCAATATAGAGGGTATGTTGGAAGATAGAGAACCCAGAAGCAGACTAATGACTGAGGAAAGATGAGGGATCCTGGCTTGAAGGTGAAGAATGAGGCAGGCTGCATGGGAACATACTTTCAAAGCCGCCCACCCAGCAAGTGAGGAGAGAAGGCCACGCACCCTAGCCAGCGCTGCGGTCACTTCCGTTTGCTCTTGCCTCAGTAACTCCCCTTCCAGGCGACTTGACTCCAGGGCTTCCCGAAGAGTGATCAGTTCACTGAGTGATTCTGACTGTTTGGCTTCCAGGCCCACCAGCGTCTCCTGACTAAGATGGGAAGGAGAGGAGTCTAGAGGAACTCTTAGGGATGGGCTGTAACCCCAAAGGTAACAGGAATTTAATCACCTTTGCTATGCAACAGAATGACGATGGTCTATAAACACTGATAAGGAAAGACTTCTAAGACATGTCAAGTGAAAAAAAACCAAGGTGCAGAACAGTATATACATAATACACTACCTTTTATACAAGAAAGCGGGGGAAGAAAGAATATATGCCCATATTTGCATGAAGGAACACTGGCAAGATAAACAAGAAGTCAACTAAAATGGTTGCCTAAAGGGGGAAGGGAAATGGGATGGAGAAAGCACAAATGAGAGTGAGACTTCTCTCTATCTTCTTAGCTCACTGAAGCCTCAAACTCCTGGGGGCTCATGTGATCCTCCCATCTCACCCTGCCATGGCTACAGGCACATGCCACCACGTTCAGCTAATTTTTTGCTGTTCCTGTAGAGATAGAGGTCTCACTATGTTGCCCAGGCTGGTCTTAAACTCCTGGCCTCAAGGGATCCGCCCACTAAGGCCTTTGAAAGGGTTGGAATTACAGGGGTGCCTAGCCTTAAAATAGTTTTGACTTTTGAATCATATAAATGTATTATCAAGTCAGATAAATAAATTTAAAAACATATTACGATCTCTGTGGATTGTCTGCCCTTCTCCTTGGTACAGGGAGATCATTCTTAGCACAAGTCATGACCCTTACGACAGCCCTTCAAGCTTCCACTATTCATGACTACCAGGTACAAGGAACTGGGGCACAGGAGAGGAGGGAAATACAGCAAAGATGAAGATATATCCCTGCTCCCAGTTATTAAAGACCTACCATACGGCCAGGCACGGTGGCTCACGCCTGTAATCCCAGCACTTTGGGAGGCCGAGGCAGGCGGATCACAAGGTCAGGAGATCGAGACCATGGTGAAACCTCGTCTCTACTAAAAATAGAAAAAATTAGCCGGGCGCGGTGGCGGGCGCCTGTAGTCCCAGATACTTGGGAGGCTGAGGCAGGAGAATGGTGTGAACCCGGGAGGCGGAGCTTGCAGTGAGCCGAGATTGCACCACTGCACTCCAGCCTGGGCAACAGAGCGAGACTCTGTCTCAAAAAAAAAAAAAAAAAAGACCTACCATACGCCAGGTTCTATGCTGGCATTTTCCAAAACATTGCTCTCATCTTCCCAGCAACCCTTCAAGGTAAATATTATCATCATCATTCTACAAATAATCTGTCCATGTGACAGAGCCATAATTCAAACGAAGCTTTTGCCCAGCTCAAAGTCCTTGCTTTTTCTGTGACATCATAAAGGGGAATTTACAGATTAGCTGGGGCCATTGATTCTGGATTTCCCTTTCTTGACCAGCTAGCGCATTTCCCATTACTTCCCTGTGTAAGGCTTACCCTTTAGCCAGCCCAGCCCACTCTGAACATGCCATGAACCTTGCTGCCTCCTTTTCTGTGCTAATCTATTCCTTGAGCTCTTCTCCCACTCTCTATTAACCAAATAGGTCAAGGCCCAGCTCAGAGTCTACTCTCTCCTCCATAAAACATTCCCTAGTGCTCAATAATTAGCTGTCACTCCTGTGCTCCCAAAGGACTTAGTCTGAAACTCTATTTAACTCATACTTCATCCAGCCTCATGTCACAGTTAGTTGTCTGTCTTCTGGCAAGTTCCCTGAAATCAGGGCTTTTGTCTTATTCATTTCTGTATCCCCCTCAGTGTCTCATCCCATATGGGTGATCAACTAAGACTTAACCAACCATGAACTTTCCATATTCATCTTTCTGCAAAGGAAGAAGCAGCAAGTTAATCTGAACCCACTGCATGCCAGAGTTCTACATACTCTACTTTCTAAGAGAGGAGAGTAGGAGGGGAGGGTGTAGAATTGAAGGAAGACCAGGCCCCAGCGAGGAGGAGACTGGTCTCACTTACAGACGCGCCCTCTCCCGGACAGCCAGGTGCAGCTCCTCCTGCTGTTCCTCCTTCTGGCCCTGGGCAGAGTCCCCCTGCAGCTGAAGCTCCACATTTGCCCTTCGCAGGCGCCATGCCTCCTGCTCTAGCACCTCCAGCTGCTGCCGCAGCTCTTCCCTGGCCTTCTGCAGCAGCTCTCGCTCCCTGGAAGAAGGGAATCAGAGATGAGCAGAGACCGTGGGACCTAAAATTCTTTCTGGAAGCAGGCATTACAGGGTCAAAAGACCCTGTTTCAACATCCCATCTTCCCTTTTGAGTGTGAAACATTTTTATCATCACAAAGACTCCAACCCCCAAAGCTTGTTCTGGAGAAACAAGTGGAAACAGGGTAAAACAGTCAAGTCTCAGGGAGAACAGGATCAGCATCCCAAAAACCTGATGGGGGTGGGTAAATGGCTGGATGATGACTGAGACTGAGACCAGGCTGGGAGGGTGGGATGAATAGCCCATCTGCTCACTTGCTGAGAGAGTCCACCTCTCCCTGGAGGTCCACAGTCTGCCCTGCCAGAGTGTCTCGCTCCCCAGTAAGCTTCTGCAGCCGCTGTCTCAAGGCTTTGCCCTCTTCCTCCCACTGATCATGCTGCTGTTGCAACAAGTTCATAGCCTCTTGACAGCCTGCAAGCTGCTGCCTTAGGTCCTGTGGAGGGAGAGCAAGAGAAACCAGATGAAGAGCAAGAGCAAAGGAGGGATTTCAGAACCCTGAAAGTGGGGCTGGAGAAGGGGGTTGGGGGATGGTGCAACAAAAGTAAGCTGAGAAGGGAGATGCAACTATTCAAGAAGACAGTCCCTCAGAGGTCACTGGGCTTCTGTGGCTCTAGATTCTTAGAGTTCGTCATCTCCAAATGTACAGTGGCATGGGGGAGTGGTAAGTGTGCCTAGGACTCTCAGAGTTGGAGAACATTGACCCAATAATCTCCCAGAGCTCTGGTTCCCAATCTTTGCATAGTGTTATGCAAAGACTGTACATAAAGTGAAGCACGCCATTGGCGTGGAGAATGTGCCTGCTACTCACAAGCACAATTCAGCAGACACAGGCAGATTCACTCTGAGATACTGACAAAACACCTCATGACTGGTCAACAAAGTAAAAGGGATAGTATAGGCTAGGGAGGTACCTGGGGCACAAACCAGTTTAGACATACACCCCTGTGACTGAGGGGGAATGCTGAGGGTTCTTACCTGCACAGCCTGGCGTCTCCGAGTCAGCACTGAACGCACCAGAGTAACAGCCTTGTCTGGATCCTGGTAATCAAACTGGCAAACGATACTAGAGTCCAATTCCAAAGAGTTCTCATGATCAGAGCCTTGGGCTATATTGTCCCCTTCTTCCACCATGACCTGAAACCCAATACAGCAAGGTCACCACCCTACTGACCAAAGCCTAGAGTCTATACAGGGATTTAACCCTGTAGCCTGGACAAACCTGATGTTTTCCTTCTCAGGTCCTCTCCCTTGGGGGAAGGAGGGGAGTATCCGAGAGCATAAAAGTCTGGTTCCTTCAACTCTCCACCTTTGGTCACCCAAGTCTAGGACTAGCAACAAGGCTAGAACACTGTCTGAGGTAACAATAAATGAGGAAATGAAAGAAGAAACGATTGAGATATTGAAGACCAGAATCTAGCCTCCAGCCTGAGAACTGTAGCTAGAAACAGGAAAGAGGGCCTGTCCCATCAGGTAGTGCGAAGACACGAATGCTTAGCTATCTCTTAGGGTTCTGGTCTTCAAACGCACAAAACTCATCCCCACAAGACTTTAAGCACCCGAACCTCAGAGACTGGAAATCTAGACAGGACTGAAAGGACATAGAGACCTGGGGAGTAGAGGCATAACCTGGTTACCATGAACAGGAGGCTTCCCAGTACCTGGGTTATATCCTTGATCACCTGCTGTAAAGACAACTTCTCCTCTTGGGCATTCCTACTAAGGGATGCTTCATGTTCCATTAATTCTGTGTGATTTGTCTCCTGAACAGGGAACAGAATAGAGCCTCAGAGTCAAACTATCAAAAGTGAATTTATTATTCCAGGACCCCAAACAACCAGAGTCTAATTCTGTCTGTTCTATCAGCCCCACTTTTTCCCTGACCATACATCAATGCTAATATGTTGCCCGAAGAGTCTGAAGACAATGTGATGTGGTGATTACAAGTTTAGATTAAGTGATAACGAGTTCCAAATTAGACTTCACTGATTAGAATTCTGCTCTATCATTTACTATGTTGGTAACCATAGTCAACAGTTTCTTTGAGCTTCTTTTTCTTCAAAATAGAAATAAGTAACAGCAACTACTTGTTTTGAAGCTTAAATTAAAAATGCATGTAAATTATTCAACATAGTGTCTGGAACAACGCAAATGTTCAATAAATGTAAGCTATTATTAGACAGGGGATGGGTGCTGTCTCTGAATAGTAAATGGATGCTTGAGACCTAATGCTAAACCAGAGAAACCTCTAGCCCTAAAGCTAGACATAATCTTGAAGACTCAAGAGTTCCTCTCTTCCTTCCTATTTGTGTTAGTGAAGGCCTGAAGACACAGACTTGCAACTATGTTTTATTTGGCTTATACAAAATTTGAATCAACATTTATAAATGGAAAGATTTTACATAAAAATATAAATTTCTGGCTTCTTCCAAAAAGTTAACAAATGGGCCACACCCAGCCCCCATTCCTACATGGAAATGATTCACTGAAGTTGAATGGTGGATGCCTCCTCTAGATGAGACATTTATTATTCAGGGTCTCACAATCCCTATTACTCCTCATAGTTTCCTTAATACTGAGCTCAAGTGACCCCTGCAGTCTTGAAAACTAAATACAACAGCACTAGAAAACCAGAATTCTTACAACTGAACCCACTTCATTTATTTATATTATCTGAGCCCCGTGGATATTCTGAATTGGCAAATTCCTGGAAAAAACAAACAAAAAAAAGGAATCGGAAAGCTACAATCCCTGTTGATCTCAGCCTGGATGAGAAGACTAGGGGTGTGCATTTGAATAGGGGTTCGGGAGCTACCTAAAATCAGAGATCTGAAAACTTGTAGAGATTAAACATGGTATTAAGCTGGAGGGTTCTAACATCCAACCTTAGAGAATCCCTCTGATAACATCCCTGGCAGATGTTAAGCCAATGACCAAAACCTCACTCCTTCACAAGACAGGCTGTTCAACTACTGAACAGTTCTAGTTGTGAGCCAGAATCTACTCCCCTATTAACTTCTAGCTATTGACATTGGTTTTGCCCTGGAAAACATTAAATATGTAAATTCTCCTTTCTTTTTTCTTTTTTGAGACGGAGTTTCACTCTTGTTGCCCAGGCTAGAGTGCAATGGCATAATCTCGGCCCACCACAACCTCCATTTCCCCAGGTTCAAGCGATTCTCCTGCCTCAGCCTCCCGAGTAGCTGGGATTACAGGCATGCGCCACCACATCCGGCAAATTTTTTTGTATTTTTTTAGTAGAGATGGAGTTTTTGCATGTTGGTCAGGCTGGTCTCAAACTCCTGACCTCAGGTGATCTGCCCACCTTGGCCTCCCAAAGTGCTGGGATTACAGGCGTGAGCTACCACGCCCGGCCCTTCATAAACTCTCTTTTCCCAGTGTCAGTCCTTCAGATATGTGAAGGTGGCTATCATGTCTTCAAGGGCCTTCAAAGGGCCTCAAGCTCTTTCTTCTCCCGGCTAAACACTGCCATACTTCTCAGTTGTTTCCCATGTGACTAGATTTTAAATCTCTCCACACATCCACTTCCTGGTAACTCACTAATTTGCCAATGTGTCTCTGAAGGTATGCGTCAATTCTCTGGTAAGGACACACTGCATATATATGCCATTGCAATTTCCCCAGGAATACAGTAGGGATAGTAGGCAGTCAATAATATTTATTCAATGAATAAATGAATGAGTTAATTAATTTTCAGATTCAGCCAAAATTTATTTTTTAGCTTTAGAGGATTTCATCACAGAATATATAACTGGTATCCTGTACTATCTGTCCATAAGGGACAAGGAACCTACAAGCCCACAACCAATTCCTTTCCAGAACAAAGGATCACGTACCAGGATCTCCACTGTCTCTCTCAGAGCCTTTACCATCTTTTCATAATCTTCATTTTGCTTCTGAGCCTGGGTCAGCAGAGCAGAGAGCTCAGTCACCCTAAAGAGCATAGCATAGCACTGTCACCAGAACAGCCCATGGATGTAGACAGAGCTACAATGCAGCACACCCCAGCCCCAACCCCAGCCACTCCCAACTGCAGCCTCCCCCAAATCCCTTAGGCACCCCTAGCCCCTCTGCACTCCCTGAATACCACATGATGCTATAGCCTTGAAGAGGGGGAGCAAAAAACCACTCAGACACATGCAGGGATTTACCACATCTCAAGGCTGGAACACGTGTTTGGGGGCCCGAGAGCTGAAGGAAAGCCCTGGCCCAGGCCCTTCCAGGCCTCGCTTGATCTTGAAGTCAAGCACCCTGAAGCCAATAAGAACATCAGAATTGCACATGGGATAGTCCCAAGGTCCCTCCAGCCCGAGGTTCTGACTCTGATAGGGAAAAAGGAAGGGCAATTTGGGGAAGATTATGTTCAACCTTCTTGATATTAATCTCAAGGTCCAGCAAAATCACCAAACACTTAACACTATACTTGGAGCTTACTGCTTGCTATCATGCGAGTGGCTAAATAAATATTTCTTGAATGAATGCTATATAAAAGTTTAATTTTTTTTCCAATTTTTTTTCCAATTTTTTTTTTTTTTTTTTTTTGAGACAGAGTCTTGCTCTGTGCGCCAGGCTGGAGTGCAGTGGTGCGATCTTGGCTCACTGCAAGCTCCGCCCCCCGGGTTCACGCCATTCTCCTGCCTCAGCCTCCCAAGTAGCTGGGACTACAGGCGCCCACCACCATGCCCGGCTAGTTTTTTGTATTTTTTTAGTAGAGACGGGGTTTCACGGTGTTAGCTAGGATGGTCTCGATCTCCTGACCTTGTGATCCGCCCGCCTCGGCCTCCCAAAGTGCTGGCATTACAGGCTTGAGCCACCGCGCCTGGCCTCCAATTTTTTTTGAGACAGTGTCTTGCTCTGTTGCCCAGGCTGGAGTACAGTGGTGCAATCATAGCTCACTCTCAAGCAATCCTCCTGCCTCAGCTTCCCAAGTAGCTAGAATTATAGGCACATGCCACCACATGGCTATTTTTTTATTTTTACTTTTAGTAGAGACAAGGTCTCACTATGTTGCCCAGGCTGGTCTCAAACTCCTGGGTTCAAGTGATCCTCCTGGCTCAGCAAAAGTCTTAATAATTTTATTCTATACCATCTCTAAGAACCTTAGCACACTGCATGGTCATTTGTCTAAGTATTGCATCACTCAACAAACATTCATTGGCCAGCCACGGTGGCTCAACCTGTAATCCTAGAACTTTGAGAGGCCAAGGTGGAAAGATTGCTTGAGCTCAGGAGTTCCAGACTGGCCTGGGAAACATAGCGAGACCCCACTTCCACAAAAAAATTAAAAAATTAGCCAGGCATAGTGGTGCGTGCCTGTAGTCCCAGTTACTTTGGAGGCTGAGGCAGGAGAATTGCTTCAGTCCAGCAGGTCAAGGCTGCGGTGAGCTGTGTTTACACTACTGCACTCCAGCCTGGGTAACAGAGCTAGACTCTGTCTCAAAAAACAAAGAAACAAAATGTATTGAGTGTCTAGTATACGGCAGGTGAAGTACAAAGCACTAGAAATACAAAACTTACTAAGAGTTGGTCTCTGCTTTTGTACTTCTCAGTGCCTCTAAAAGCAAAAACGAAAAATAGCCCTGCATTTTATATATGTACCTCCAACAGGTGAAGACACAACCCTCGTCATGGGCGTATATGAACTTTGTCCTGAGATTCAGTGGGGCTCTCTGCTCATTTCCCTGCCCTTCTACATCATTATTTTTTAAAAACCTACTTCATTATAATCCAAAAATTAAAACAGCCTAACCAAAAAAAGAAGGTGGGGAAACTAAATCATCAATGAGATCAATGCTGTAATAAGAGGTCAAAAGACCACAGGGGCACAGTAACTTAGTAGGCTACCGAGGTCAGAGAAGGCTTCATAGAAGAGGTGACATTTCGGCGAGTTGCAGTGGCTCATGCTTGTAATCCCAGCACTTGGGGAGGCTAAGGCGGGTGGATCACGTGAGGTCAGGAGTTTAAGACCAGCCTGGCCAACATGGTAAAACTACTAAAAATACAAATATTAGCAGGGTGTGGTGGCATGCGCCTGTAAACAGTCCCAGCTACTTGGGAGGCTGAGGCAGCAGAGTCACTTGAACCCGGGAGGCAGAGGTTGCAGTAGTCGAGATCATGCCACTGCACAATAGCCTGGGCGACAGAATGAGACTCCGTCTCAAAAAAAAAAAAAAAAAAAAAAAGAGGTAATATTTGAACTGTGCCTTAGAGGATAAGGCAGAGAGAGAAGGGAGGGAGGCATTCCAGACTAAAGTTGGCAGGTGCAAAGACAGGGAAGGGAAAGAGCTGGGCTGTTCTGGGAATGGCAAGTACTTTGGTGTTGATGGAGGATGGAGTGATAGCTAGCTCTGTACATCAATAGGAGAGAAACTGGGCTGAAAGACAGGCTGAGGGCAGAGGTCAGTACAAGACCCAACTGTGGCATCAGGTTTCAAAGCAGATTCCCTCGGGCACATCTTCTCCCCCTCCATGGTAGGAATGTTCCTAGCATCTCCCCTGCCTGTCCCTAACCCTCTAAAGGAGTCGGCTCTCTCTCAGCAAACCCTTCCTGGGACCCCAGGCCATCTCACCGGTCCTGAAGTTCAGCCTTCTCCAGATCCCCTTGACTCTTCAGCTGTATTAACTCCTGGCTCCTTTCATGGGCTTCCTTCTCCAGCTCCTGGGTCTTGGCTAGTAGCAGCAGCAGCTGGGCTGGCTCCCGCCCATCCATTCTTCCAGATCCGTTGGGTTCCCGAGACTGTGCTCCCACAGTCAAGCGCAGACAACAGGTCAACAGGGACCCTGAAAGCCTCACATGCTCAGCTTTTAGCTCCGTCAAATCTCTGAGTACAAGCAAGGAAAACAGCAGACTCCACTAGGAACCAGGGAAGGAGTGTGGTGATCAGGCCCAGTGAAGCCTGAGAAGCAGGGCTGGGAAAAATCATCTGCTTCCAACACCACCAACTCCCCCACCCCCACAGCTGATGCTGCTTCTATAGCAGCCCACTGTTATTAGTCCAGAATTGGTGGGGGCAAACCTCCTCCCTTCTTTTCCCCACACTGACCTGTCAGTAGCTGACTTCATTTCCAGGAAGTGGCGTCGGAATGTCACCACCTCCCGCCATAGACTGAGAAGGCGACCGTGCTCCCCTTTCAGGTAGCCCTTGAAGAACTGTGTGTTCAGAAACCCAGGTCATACCCAAAGTCAGAGGGCTATCTTTTGCCAACACAAGAGTCTTGGATTCCTCCTGACTACTGAGGAAAGGAAGGAGGGACTTACAGAAGATAGTTTATGAACGGGTATCTATCCAGGTTATGCTGAAGGGTTTAATGAAGTTGGCAGTGGGATTCGAGAGGTCAGAGAGCCTAGGATGGTACATTGCCTTACTCTGGGCCAGATTAGAAAAGGATACACAGTAGCTGCTTAACAAATGGGATCTATTACCACAGACTTTTCTAAGGAGGAGTCAATGATATACATAAACCACTGAGCACAAAGCAAAAATGCAGGAAACATTTGTTTCCTTCAGCTGGGACCTGAAAATTCCCCAGGGTCCATAACTGCTCTTTCTTTCCCATTCAGTTTCATATCTACCTCTTTAGCATCTAGATATGCAAGACCTCCAGACCAGGAGTCAGTAAGCTTTCAGATCCATTGAAAACCTAAGCTCGTCACTGCTGCAGGAAGAGTTGCTATGAGTGTCATGCTACCTCCCAACAGAACCTAGACTAGGCAGGTAGTGGCAGGTCTAGGCTGAAGGCCCAAGAAGGGTGAGGCTGCCAGCATGCACAGGTAAGGATGGTCAGGTACTTTAACAGCAACAGCTCAGTTTCCATCCAAGTCCTGAAGTTAACCCCTTCCAGTACTGACCAGGGCAGCATCCAGAATGCACAGCCTTCCTCTCGCAGTTCCAGTCCCCATTCTTCCTACCTCCTGCTCCATCCGCCACTGACTCTCCTTCCTCATTAGCTCATCCCGGGCCCGGCTCCAGTCCACTGTCAATTTTTCCACATCTTCCCTAAGGGCTTTATTCACCACGTCAGCTTTTTCCATGTTCAGTCGAAGCTGGGTGTTCACCTCTGCTAGACTCTCACACCTGCACTGGGGAACGGTAAAAGGGGGTAAAAAATAAAGGTCTGGTCCAACACTTGGACCTCCTGGGAGTAAGATGGCAACCACTGAAATTTCCATTGCAGGAATTAGAGGGCTACGGCTGAAGTCCATGGCTCTAATCCACATTAGCCCTCAGGGCAGAGGGTTCCCATCAGCCTTTTCCATCAGCTGGCCAATCACCCAGGTCAGAAAGTTTAGGGTCCATCACCTCTGTTGCTCCTCCTCCAGTCGGACCAGCAGCTCATCCAGGTTTGGCTCCTCCACATTTTCCCACCTCTGGGGGATTGGTCCCTGCGCCAGACAGAGACAAGCCTTACTTACCTCCAAAGAGAACACTACTCAGACCAGTTCCCTGAGGCTCCCTTCCATGGCAGTCCATTTTCTTTTTATTCTTTCTCCCCTTTGTTAGCAATATGCTTCTCTTCTCAATCACTGCATCCCTCACTCCAAAAGTAAAATGATGACCTCTCCTGAAAGACGGCCTTTGGTAGTAAAAAGAATCTTCAACCTAAGAAGTGATATATCTTTCACTAATGGCCTTAACTTCCACTATACTAATTGTTTGACCTTGAGAAGTGACTTAACGTCTTTCATTTTTTTTTGGAGACAGAGTCTCACTCTGTTGCCCAGGCTGGAGTGCGATGGCATAATCTCAGCTCACTGCAACCACTGCCTCCCAGGTTCAAGTGATTCTCCTGCCTTAGTCGCCCAAGCAGTTGGGATTACAGGCACCCACCACCATGCCTGACTAATTTTTGTATTTTTAGTAGAGACAGGGTTTCGCCATGTTGGCTAGGCTGTTCTTGAATTCCTGGCCTCAAATGATCCACCCACCTCAGCCTCCCAAAGTGCTGGGATTACAGGCATGAGCTACCACACCCAGCATAGGAAGTCACTTAACTTCTTGGAGCTACAGTGTCTCCAGCTACAAAATGAAAGCGATATCATTCCCTTCAGAAAGTTGCTATGCAGGTTAAGAGACACAATTACAGATGCTCCTTGACTTATGCTGGAATTTCATCCCATAAACCCATCATAAGTTGAACGTAAGTTAAAGATGTGTTTTCAACTTATGACATTTTCTTTTTTCTTTTCTTTTTTTTTTTTTTTTTTTTGAGATAGTCTAGCTCTGTTGCCTAGGCTAGAGTGCAGTGGTGCAATCTTGGCTCACTGCAACCTCCACCTCCTGGGTTCAATGATTCTCCTGCCTCAGCCTCCCGAGTAGCTGGGATTACAGGCAGGCACCATCATGCCCGGCTAAATTTTTGTATTTTTAGTAGGGATGGGGTTTCACCATGCTGGCTAGGTGGGTCTTGAACCCCTGACCTCGTGACCCACCCACCTCGACCTCCCAAAGTGCTGGGATTATAGGCGTGAGCCACTGCGCCCAGCCAACATTTTCAACTTATGATATTTTCAACTTAACAGTGAGTTTGGGCCGGACGCAGTGGCTCACATTTGTAATACCAGCAGTGGGAGGATTGCTTGAGTCTAAGAATTTGAGACCAGCCCGGGCAACATAGAGAGACCCTGTGTCTACAAAAAATAAAAAAATTAGCCAGGTGTGGAGGCATGTATCTGTAGTCCCAGCTACTTTTTGGGAGGCTGAGGTGGGATGATCGCTTAAGCCCAGGAGGCTAAGGCTGCAGTGACCCATGATTGCACCAGTGCACTCCAACCTGGGTGACAGAGTAAGACTCCGTCTCAAAACAACCAACCAAACAAGCAAACAAAACAACCCCAAACAATGGGTTTATCCAGATGTAACCCCATCATAACCCAAGGAGCATACTGAATGCACATAGCTTTCACATCATCATAAAGTTGAAAACTTGCAACAATCCTAAGTTGCAGGGGACCATCTGTATATGACAGTGCCTCATGCTGCCTGGCCTGCATTGAAGGTGCTCAATAAGTTTTGGTTCTTTCCTTCCTTTGAGAGAACTTTTCTGAGGAAAATGTGAGGAGGTACTGAGAGGGAGCTGGAACAAAGGCAAATAAATGGGTTTTTCAAAGCCAGTTCTAATAGCACAGACATCCCTTTGCTGCAATGTGCTGCAGGCTCGCAAAGGCCTGCATCTAAGACAAACACTGACACCTGCTGAGGGAAACATGCACTTCTTCCCACTAATCCCACACTCCTTCCAATCTAATTTACATTTTGTCCTTTGAGAACCAAGGGTTGGAATCTGACAGGCCAGTTAGGTCCAATGAAGATATCAGTGTGATAAACCTCTCAGAGGCTGAGAAAGAGAGACTTCTACCAAACACCTCACTTGTACACTCCGACCTCCCTCAGTGAACAAATGAAACCTAACAAGTATATTCACTGAGGACCCGGGGGCACACAGAGCTCAGCCTCACTCACTCCAGTGGCTTCCAGCCGCTTCTCCAGCTCTTGGCACCAGCTCCGGTACTGCAGCACCTGTGGCAAAAAGAACAGGCCCTGGGCAATGAACACAGCTGGCACAAACAGCCCAAAGCAAATGCCCCTGAAGATCTTAGGCAAACTTGCTATGAACAGGGGAACTGGGTGGTGACATTAAGGTAAGGCCATAACATCTTATAGTTTCTATTTGGGCATTTTTTTCTTTTTTGAGATAGAGTCTCGCTCTGTCTCCTAAGCTGGAGCACAGGGGCGCAATCTTGGCTCACTGGAACCTCCGCCTCCCAGGTTCAAGTGATTCTCCTACCTCAGCCTCCCGAGTAGCTGGGATTACAGGAACATGCCACCACACTCAGCTAATTTTTGTACTTTTAGTAGAGACAGGGTTTTGCCATGTTGACCAGGCTGGTCTCGAACTCCTGACCTCAGGTGATACAGCCACCTCGGCCTCCCAAAGTGCTGGGATTACAGGCATGGGCCACCACGCCTGGCCTTATTTGGGCATTTAAATAATACTTTCTATATGAGCGAGACTCCATCTCAAAAATAAATAAATAAATAAATAAATAATACTTTCTATATGCCTTTTATATTATAGAGGCAAGATCATGGGCTTTGGCTCTAGACTAGGTGAGGAAACCTGGATAACTAACTTAACCCTTGTGAATTTCATCTTTAAAAGAGAAATATTAGTCGAAAGTGGTGGTGCACACATGTGGTCCCAGATACTCGAGAGGCTGAGGCAGGAGGATTGCCTGAGCCCAGGAGGTTGAGGCTGCAGAGATCTGTGATCATACCACTGCACTCTAGCCTGGGCAACAGAGCAAAACCCTATCTCAAAAATAAAATAAAATAAGATAAAATAAAATAAAATAAAATAAAATAAAAAGGATATAATACGTACCTCGTGGAACAGTTGTGAGCATCAAAAGAGAAGCTGTACATGAAAGCTAGAAGGTCTGGGTCTTATCTCACCAAGCTAGATGTAGGCCAATCCCACCACAAGGCTCTGCCTCCTACAACCCTTATCTCATCTTAGCACCCAGCTCTGGGGGTTGTTCTCTTTCCCTTCCTCAAAAGGGCAGCTGCCTCACCTTGGCCTGCAGCTTCCTCACAAGGGTTGCTTGTCTCTGCTGGGCCTCCTGGGAGTTCTTCAGCTTCCGCCAGGAGGCTGCCTGATTCTCTGTCATCTGCTGCTGTAGTGCCAGCACCTGCTCTTCCAGTACCAGCTGCAGTGACTGGGGCTTCATGTTGTTCAACCCAGAGTTTCTTGTCTCCATGAGGGCACCAAGTGGCAGGCCCACAGGTCCCTAGGTAGTCAGAGGGTGTTCACGTCCAGCAGAGTCTCTAACCATTGCCATGCCACTTCAACCTCCTCTTGAACTGGGGACCAAAGCACATAGTCAAATTGAAAGGACTGTTCTTGTACTATATACAAGACTCCTCAGAACCTTTAAAATACTAAAAGGGACCCTCATCTCTGAATGGCACTATGATGAGCAGCATTCCCCAAATTTAACTGACCATGAGACAAGCTCACAGGACTAGTGTCTCCTGGCATGCCTTTTGGAACTCTGCACTAAACCAAGAGCTCCTGGTTTATCACTGCATCCTTAGTTGCTGGCACAGTGGCTCACAAACACTTGTTGAATGAATCGCTGAAGGTGTTCTTAATCTAGCAGGGGAAATAGGCACAAACAATTACAATACATACAATGTGGCATGTGAAATAATAAGATGGTATGAGAAAACAAAGGAAGAGAACTTAACCCAGCCCAGGGGTGCTGTGAACTGAGTGAATCATCATCATTGTTAACACTTGCTGAGTGCTTCTGGCGTGCTGTTGCTTTAAGTACTTTACATGCATTACGTCATTTTGTTTTTACAAAAATCTTGAAACCTTCCAATGCCTTCCCATTACACTTCACCAAACGTACTATTATAATTCTTTATATATAGATGAGGAAACTGGGGCTTTAAAAGGTTAAAAAACTTCTGCCAGGGCCGGGCATGGTGGCTCACGCCTGTAATCCCAGCACTTTGGGAGGCCGAGGCAGGTGGATCACAAGGTCAGGAGTTAAAGACCAGCCTGGCCAACATGGTGAAACCCCGTCTCTACTAAAAACACAAAAAATTAGCTGGGCGTGGTGGCAGTCTCCTGTAATCCCAGCTACTCGGGAGGCTGAGGCAGGGGAATTGCTTGAACTGGGAGGTGGAGGTTGCAGCGAGCTGAGACTATGCCACTGCACTCCAGATTGGGCGACAGAGCGCGACTCCATCTCAAAAACAAAAAACAAAAACCAAAAAAAACTTGTGCCAGGCCACACAGCTGGCATGCGGTTGATGAGAGATTTGAACACAAGTAGTCTATCTGACAAAGAAAAGGAGTGGCAGGCATTTCAGGCAAGGGATCCAAAAGAGAGAAGGAACCAGTAGCAGCAGGATGGACAAACACCCTCACCCACCAGGAGCTGGGCTAAAACAGGGCAATGGGCCACCACAAGCAGAGGCGGCCAGCCTAACGGTGAGCTTCAGAGATACCCAGGACAGGGGAAGGCATGGTGGTAAAGAGTTCTGGGTGCTATTCCAAGGTCTGCCTCCAATGGGCTCTGTGACCTCAGATGTGCTACTTCCCTTTCAATTTCCTCATCCAGAAATGAGGGCATCATGACCTCTGAGTTACTTAGGCCTCTAAAACACACAATTATCCCATAACCTGGGCCAGGGGAAGAGTTCTCTCATTTTACTAACCCTAAGACTCTCACCAGCAGAGCTAAGGAATATCTGGATTTTCAACTACCTATCAACAAAATGGTATATACAGCGAATGCAAACCTAACATCTGCACATACAGTAGAAATTTCAAGGGCCCCAAATCCCTTTAATGCACCAAACTATTGATTTCCCACATCCTGGCTCAAATGCCATGTCCTTTCATGTCTTCCCAGATGAACCCAGAAAGAGTTAATCACTTTTATAGCTATATACACAGAGAGAATACATATGTTCTGATGTCTACTCTATATCTCATCATCACGGTCTATTTTCTCTGCTAATCCATAAGTGCCTCAAAGGAAGGAGCCGTCTAATTCATTGTAAGTTGTCAACAATGTCCAATGAAGAAATCCATGTGAGCCTCACTCCTGGCAGAGCTAAGCCTTGGGCCAGAGATGACAAATCAGGGCCCTGCTAGCGCTTTTCAGCCATCGTGTGGCCCACATAATAGTTTTTTTTTTTTGAGACGGAGTGTCGCTCTGTCGCCCAGGCTGGAGTGCAGTGGCCGATCTCGGCTCGCTGCAAGCTCCACCTCCTGGGTTCACGCCATTCTCCTGCCTCAGCCTCCCGAGTAGCTGGGACTACAGGCGCCTGCCACCACGCCCAGCTAATTTTTTTGCGTTTTTAGTAGAGATGGGGTTTCACCATGTTAGCCAAGATGGTCTCGATCTCCTGACCTCATGATCCGCCCACCTTGGCCTCCCAAAGTGCTGGGATTACAGGCGTGAGCCACCGTGTCCGGCCACATAATAGTTTTTAAGCATTCAAATTAGGTGCCGACATTTATCACTGGGAGAAAGTACAAAAAATCCATATTTCTGGTTCCTTTGGAAAATCAGAATACCTAGTGACGCTTGACCCATATTTCAATAAGGCAACAACCAGTGGCACAGTTGAATAGTGCTTGCCCCTTTAGACAGGGCACGTGCTCCGCACAGTTGAACAGCGCCTGCCCCTTTAGACAGGGCGTGTGCTCTCCAGTTCATCGTGGCCTCCCCATACACACACCGATTCTCTCCCTCACAATGATAGCATATTTCAGTTGTCATTTATCATTGCAACTGTGCTATTGTTTCTGTTATAGTAGCACTATAGAGGAAAACTCGGCTTACTAATTTACATTACCTCCTGAACAACCGAAGATACTTGAGTTTGCAAAGCCTGTACTAGGCAGTAAGGAAAGTGCATAAAGAAAGAACAGAATGGCACCAATAAAGGTTTGGTGGCACCAGTACTCCAGGCCTCTTCTTAGCCTATGAACCAGGGTAATACAACATTTCCCCATACTATGACACCCTCCTTTTCAGCCTTTTTGCCAAGGCTGTGTGACCAACTCACCATGGTACTATGAAATGCTGGCTCTGTTGAGTGCAATGAAGCTCAATCCCTCTCTGCTGGTTGGAGGCACAGACTTTCCAGGAAACGGTTCTCTTATCCCAGGATTTCTGCCAACAACTCTACCTACAATAATGTAGATCCAAGTTACTTCAGGGGAACTGTACTCTCCTAGTACTGTGAGGGCTGAGCCAGGCTTTTGCATGCAGTGGGAGTTTATGAGGCCCTAAGGGCCCCTCACACTTTGTTGAATCCCTATCCCAAAACATTAGGTTGAACCATAAGAAATTGCTAATATTATCCTATTATTATTATTATTATTAGGGAAACGATCTAGCTGTCACCCAGGCTGGAGTACAATGGTGCAATCATAGCTCACCGCAGCCTCAAACTCCTGGGCTGAAGGGATCCTCCAGCCTCAGCCTTCAGAGGAGCTGAAGGTGTGTGCCACCAAGCCTTTTTTTTCTTTTTTTTTTTTCCGGTAGAGACAAGGTTTTGCCTTGTTGCCTGAGCTTGTCTCAAACTCCTGGTTTCAGGCAGCCACCCTCTGACCCAAGCCTCCCAAAGTGCTGGCATTATGGGTATGAGCCACCAAGCCCAGCCTCACCCATTATTTTTTACCTACAAAAATGGCAATTTCACGTAGTTCAACCTAATATCTCTAATAAGCAGTCCTGCCACACATAGTTCCATGAATTCTCATTAAGTTTTCTTTTAGGATATGGCTGTCAGTAACTTGCAAACATGATTTGGCAAGGTAGTATTAGTAATACTTCAACAAATAAATGAAATTATATTAGAATTATATAATTACTTTAGCAAATAATTAAAAAATTGTAAAGCTATTTAGAAATTTAGTCCAACCCCCCTCATCTTGCAGATAAAGAAACTGAGGCTTGTAGAGATAAAGCAACTTCATTTTGTTTATATTTTTATATGTCCCAGTTATCTCAAAAAATGATTTGCATGGCCAGGCGCAGTGGCTCACACCTGTAATCCCAGCACTTTGGGAGGCTGAGGCGGGCAGATCACTTGAGGTCAGAAGTTCGAGACCAGCCTGGCCAACACTGTCCAGCCTGGGCGACAAGAGCAAGACCCCATTTCAAAAAAAAAAAAAAAAAAAAAAAAAGATTTGCATTATAGCAAATATACCATACTAAAAGGGAAGACTGGGTGCAGGGTGTACAGGAACTCTCTGTACTATGCAATTTTTCTGTAACCCTAAAATTGTTGTAAAAAATAGTTTAAAAAAAGATTTTGTTTTTTAAAACCAAAACAATCCTCATAAAACTAAAATTTATTAAAACAAGAATAAAAGGGAAGTGACAGAGAAAAATTATCTCAGGAATCTTTCTGAAATTCAGATTTAATTCTGAGCTTCCTCAAGACACAGTTCAGCATCCTTTTATGAACACACTGCGGGATCAGATCTGCTAGGAATAAACTAGCAGAGCCCCCAAAGGGAAGGTAAGTTTCAACGTGCATGAGAAAGGGAAAAGAACAGTAGCTGGCAAATTGTAACAAATTGGATTACATTCAAATAAGATAATGAGTGTCTCTGTACTTCTAAGCTGTAAACCACTGAGCCAATGTTATCATTACTGCAGGAAAAGGGAAAAGATTATTTGGTACATTAATTTATCCCATAAACACTCATGAATTTCAACTCAGTATCAGGAGTCTGCCACGGTGGTACAGAAATGAACAAGACCTACCTTCCTACTTTTGCTAAGAATCAGACAGGGAAGACAGTACCCTTACTAAAGACCAATAGCCACCTGTGAACCTGGAGTGGAAAGTGACAGAAGAGGGAGATAAATTATATATTTGGTCCTCTCTCATCCAAAATACTACAAAAGGAGTATTTAAATAAAGTTTAAAAGAGAAGCAACACCACCACCTAAACATGGAATAGAGGCATAAATGCTACAAGGACTAAGATGCAGAATGGTATTAAATACAATTTGTCACTTAAAGCAAAAACTGAAAAATATTTGAGGACACAAACATTGTATTTATTGAAAAAGAAACTACAGTATAGACATTTGTGTACAGAGACTATTTGTTTCTTATTCTTGAAAACAAAAAAACTAAATTACCATGCAGCTCCTTATTTAAATCTCATGTGGGGCCTTTCTCTCTTGTTCTCCTCCAACCTCTGGCCTCTCCCACTCAGTCTCCTTTGCTGCCTTTTCTCATCTCCCCAATATCTGAAGTTTGGAAACCCCAAGGCTTCAGACCTCTTCTCCATCTCCATTCATTTCCAAGGTAATCTGATACAGTGTTTTGTTTTGTTTTTGAGACAGGATCTGGCTCTGTCACCCAGGCTGTAGTGCACTGGCATGATCTCAGCTCACTGCAACCTCTGCCTCCCCGGTTCAGGTAATTCTCATGTCTCAGCCTCCCGAGTAGCTGGGATTACAAGCATGTGCCACCACGACCAGCTAATTTTTTTGTATTTTTAGTAGAGACAGGGTTTCACCAAGGCAGGAGGATCTCTTGAGGCCAGGAGTTCAAGACCAGCCTGGGCAACACAGGGAGATTCCCACCTCTAAAAAAAACAAAAACAAAAACAAAAAATTGCTGGTTGTGTGGCATGCACCTGTAGTCCCAGCTACTTGGGAGGCTGAGGTGGGTGAGCTACTTGAGCCCAGGAGTTTGAGGCTGCAGTGAGCCGCGATCACACCACTGTACTCCAGCCTGGGACAAAATGCTCTCTCAAATAAATAAATAAATAAATAAATAACTATTACCTCTCCACATAACACTGGTACTTTTATTTACCTTACCATGCTTTTTCTGTCCCTATCTAATTATTATGTAATATACTTACCAAAACGCAGATTCCACAAGCACAAAAGCATTGTTTTACTGAATGCTGTCCCAGTTCCTACCTAAAACACAGCCTGCTTTATAATAGATGCCCATTATTACTGACTATTATAAGACATTAGATCACATGATCCATATTATCACCAATGGTCTTACAAAATGCTAACAGCTCTATTACCTATCTAAAAAACAAAAAACAGACTGAGTGTGGTGCCTCACACCTGTAATCCCAGCACTTTGGGAGGCTGAGTTGGGCAGATCATTAGAGACCAGTAGTTCGAGACCAGCCTGGCCAACATGGCAAAACCCCATCCCTCTTAGAAATACAAAAATTAGCCGGGCATGGGCGGGCACCTGTAATCCCAGCTACTCAGGAGGCTGAGGTGGGAGAATCGCCTGAACCTAGGAGACAGGAGGTTGCAGTGAACCGAGATCGCACCACTGCACTCCAGCCTGGGTGACAGAATGAGACTGCATCCCCCCCCCCCAAAAAAAAAGTAGGGGGAGGGATATAACTTATACCTTGGTCAGCGGCACAGCAATGACTGAACCCCAGCCTGATTCCAAATTCTACTCTCTGCATTACATTAGCTGCTAAAGCATGGACATTACATTACCTAAAGCCATGGACTACGAACTCACAGCTTTGTGAGGGGCACTTCTTAAATAGGAATAATGACACCTATGTCTGCAGCTTTCTGATCGAAAAGGAGCAAAGAAAGGTAGAACTAAAAGAACAGAGGTCGTACCAGTAGCCTTGGTTTTGTTGTGACCTCTATAAATTTGGGAACACCAGTTCTCCTTTCTAAGCCTTCTCAGGAAAATGCTGATTACAATCCTAGCCTCCAATAACTTCCGAGGCCAAAGTAAAGATCAATTCAAGAAACATTCATTAAACCCAAAGGCAATCTAGTCAAGTTATCAAATGCCCTGGGGACAGTTTCCCAGCTCCATCCACTTATTAGTTTTGGGACTCCCAGAAAATTACTTTTTCTAATGTACCTCAGTTTCTTCATGGGTAAAACGTGAAGATATAGAAAGATCTCACCCCACAGGACTGTTGGAAAGATTAAATAGGCCTTTGGCCCAGCGCGGTGGCTCATGCCTGTAATCCCAGCACTTTGGGAGGCCGAGGCGGGCGGATCACCTGAGGTCAGGAGATCGAGACCAGCCTGGCCAACATGGAGAAACCCCGTTTCTACTAAAAATCTAAAATTAGCCGGGTGTGGTGGCGCATGCCTGTAGTCCCAGCTACTCGGGAGGGTGAGGCAGGAGAATCGCTTCAACCCAGGAGGCAGAGATTGAGGTGAGCTGACATCGCGCCATTGCACTACAGCCTGGGCAATGAGCGAAACTCCGTCTCTAAATAAATAATAAATGGGCCCTTATGTGTAATGCATTCAGTAGCACCTGACAATTTGTGACCATTCCGTACAGTGAGCCATGACTATTATCATCACGTGCTAGGCCCTGGGATCTACAGATGAAAAAGGCAAGGCATAACATCTAACGAAGGAGCTTACGATGTCAACAAGGGGCAGGGAAAGTAACTCGGTGCAGCGAGTGCAAAAACCGAGAAGCGAATGCAGCTGCGCCTGGAGAAGGCGGCGGCGAAGTGATACTTCAGCAGGGTCCTGAAGAATGGGAGCTCCAGAGTTGGGTGGCGAGTGGGACTGGGCTCTGGGATAGATCACGTGCAAAGCCGCCAGGACACAGACAGCGAGAGGTGCAGGAGGGCGGGAGAGCGCGGCGCCTCGCCCTCTCAACCCGGGACTGGGGCTACTGGACACGAGGGTCGGGATGCTCTCCTTCGGCGCCGACTGGAGCTTAGCGTACTGGTGCAGCAGTAAGCTGAGGCAAGCGGGCCCCGACCCTAACGACGCGTCCCAGCCCCTCTCTGGGCCTAGGGTTCCCCGCCCGGGTAACAAGAGGCCGCTGCGCGAACGGGATTCCCTCAGGCGCCCTAGACGGGCAGGTCTCTGGGCCTCGGACGGTTAACCCGAGCACCTCCCGCCTGCCCCTGAGGCCCCACCTCACCACGCTCGGCTCCAGCAGACGCCCGGCTAGTTGCTCAGCTTTGGAGCTGCGGCAGCCTCTGCTAAGGCCCCGCCGGGGACGGGGGCGGGGCCCGCCCCCCAATCTCCCGCCCTTTGGGAGGGGCCCGCCCCGCCAAGTCCTGCACCTATAGGCAGACTGCGCCGGCGCAGAGCCTCCCGCCATATTGGGTATTGGCAGCCGACTTACTAGAGAAGCCCTGAAGGAAAGGGAGTATTATTTTGAGAATTATAAGATCCCTCGCCAGAAATGAGGACGGTCAGGGTCTCTGGATTCGCGAAAGGGATATTTCGGAAGCAGAGAAGAAAAATTGCCCTCAATCGTCTCCCTTTAGGCTTCAGTGTTATATACAGCGCATGTGCAAGGTCACCTAGTTCTAGGTGCGCCTGCGCACAGCTCCGCCTACAAACCAGACTACAATTCCAACTGCGCGAGAAACAAAGGGGCTTGCTGCCACTGGTTGGCGATTAAACTGGCAGCGCGACCAGTTTCTGAGGGTTTTTCACCTTGCTGCTCAGACGCTCCCTGCAGCTTCAGGCAGCATAACACTTACAGGCGAGTTACTTACTCTGCACTCGGTTTTGTCTACATGTCTGCACAGAGTGTTACCTTTACCTGACTTCATCCGTCCCGGAGCTGCAGTTTGTCTGCTTAAGCCTGACTTCTAGAGAACTTTTTCTTCCCTGTAGGACCCATGCGTTATTCCCTTAGTATTTTGTGTATACTTTTTTTTTTTTTTTTTTGAAATGGAGTCTTGCTCTGTCGCCAGGCTGGAGTGCAATGGTACGATCTCGGCTCACTGCAACCTCTACCTCCCGGGTTCAAGTAATTCTCCTGCCTCAGCCTCCCGAGTAGCTGGGACTACAGGCGCCCGCCACCACGCCCGCCTAATTTTTGTATTTTTAGTAGAGACAGGGTTTCACCATGTTGGCCAGGATGGTCTCCATCTCTCTTGACCTCGTGATCTGCCCGCCTCGGCTTCCCAAAGTGCTGGGATTACAGGCGTGAGCCACCGCGGCCAGCTAAGTGTATGAATTGTTAATGCACTTTCTTAGAGTTGTAAACTCCATTTACCTGCCTCACTCTTGCAGTCAGTGGTTCTCAATTTTTAGTAGGAATTAAAAACAAAACTGGTAAATGCAGACTCTTGGATTCCACCCCCAGAGAATCCGTAAACCGGGGGTGGAGTCCAGGAATCTGCATTTTAGAAAGTACCCAGGGCGATTCTGATACATGGGGAACATGTTTTAGGAAGCACTGCATGAGATTGTGAGCTTGAGCGTAGAGACTGTAATTTGGTCATCTGACTATAGCGCTCAGTACAAGGCCTGGTACAAAATAGGTGCTCAATAAGTGTTGAGTGAATGGATGAATGAGTGGATAGCTCGAGTAAAACAGCAAGGCTTCAGGTTAATCCACAGCCAAAGGTAATCTGAGAAAGGAACACTTAAAAGCTATATTTTATCTTTCTCCTGTAAGAACACAAAAAAGATCTTAATAGCTGATTTGAGGAATAGAGAAAGTGAAGAGTAAAAGGGGAAGGAAGGACACAGATTCTGAAAGGCAAACTAGAGAGGGGAAAAGGAACATCTCCAGTCACTAGACAGAGAAAACGATGTAAAGAAGCAGTGGTGTGGGATTCCATCCTAAGGAAATAATCGCACAACAGGCATTATGCATGAATGTTCACTGCAACAATATTTGAAATAGAAATGAAACAATCTAAATGTTATGCACATCAAGCTCTTTTCTGCCTCAGGGCATTTGCATATACTCTGCCAGCTACTGAGACCACTTTTCCCCCAGCTCTTGGCCTAGCTGGTACCTTCCTGTCCTTCAGGTCCCAGTTTAAATGATGCTTCTTCAACTAGGTCTTCCCTGACCATACTGTCTAAAGTAATACCTTATATTTTCTAGGGTAGTCTTCTGTTTCTTTTTTTTTTTTGGGACGGAGTCTTGCTCTGTCGCCCAGGCTGGAGTGCAGCAGTGCAATCTTGGCTCAGTGCAAGCTCCACCTCCTCAGTTCACACCATTCTCCTGCCTCAGCCTCCCGAGTAGCTGGGACCACAGGTGCCTGCCACCTTGCCTGGCTAATTTTTTTTGTATTTTTAGTAGAGACGGGGTTTCACCCTGTTAGCCAGGATGGTCTTGATCTGCTGACCTCATGATCCACCTGCCTCAGCCTCCCAAAGTGCTGAGATTACAGGCGTGAGCCACCACGCCTGGTTGTATTCTGTTTCTTTCATAGCACTTTCCATTTATTATTTTGTTTTCCTATTAACATTCCCTCCAAAATTTAAGTTTCGTGTGAATAGGAGACTTATTCCTGGGATTTAGCACAGTCTGACATATATGGTAGGTATCAAGTAAGTATCCATTGAATGAATGAATCAAGTCAGCCCTAGTGTTACAAAGTTTAATGACATAACATCCATTAGCAAACTAGACAATATATTTTAAGACTATGAGGAGTCGGCTGGGTGCAGTGGCTCATGCCTGTAATCCCAGCACTTTGGGAGGCTGAGGTCAGGAATTCCATACCAGCCTGACCAACAGGGAGAAACTCCATCTCTACTAAAAATACAAAATTAGCCAGGCGTGGTGGTGCATGCCTGTAATCCCTGCTACTCGGGAGGCTGAGGCAGGAGAATCACTCAAACCTGGGAGGCAGAGGTTATGGTGAGCCAAGATTGCACCATTGCACTCCAGCCTGGGCAACAAGAGCGAAAGCCCATCTCAAAAAAAAAAAAGACTATGAGGAGTAAACAGGTTTCGGACTACCAAGATATACCAAACCAAACAGTAATCTTTGATGTTTGTAAAGGGGCATTCATTCCCTTATTTATTCATTCACCCAGTGGACATTTATTGAGCATTGATTATGTTCTAGTATTGAATAATAATACAATGTAGTAAGGACAAGTTGGAAATCGTATTAAAACATAATAATGTAGTACAACTGGAGATTATCTGAGCCAAAGCCCAAAGTGGAGTTAGCTGGTGTGTGAAGCGGGGATAGGCAGGGGCAGGTGGGAATGGTTTTGGGATGAGACTTCCACCTCAGATCATCGGGCATTAGATTCTCATGAGTGTGTAACCTAGATCCCTCTCATGCACAGTTCTTTTTTTTTTTTTTTGAGACGGAGTCTTGGTCTGTCGCCCGCGCTGGAGTGCAGTGGCCGGATCTCAGCTCACTGCAAACTCCCCCTCCCGGGTTTACGCCATTCTCCTGCCTCAGCCTCCCGAGTAGCTGGGACTACAGGTGCCCGCCACCTCGCCCGGCTAGTTTTTTGTATTTTTTAGTAGAGACGGGGTTTCACTGTGTTAGCCAGGATGGTCTCGATCTCCTGACCTCGTGATCCGCCCGTCTTGGCCTCCCAAAGTGCTGGGATTACAGGCTTGAGCCACCACGCCCGGCCCACAGTTCTTAATAGGATTTGCCTCCTATGAGAATCTGATGCTGCTCCTGAACTGACAGGAGGTGGAGCTCAGGTGGTAATGCTTGCTAATCTGCTCAACTCCTGCTGTGCTGCCAGGGTCCTAACAGGTCAAGACTGATAGTAGTCCGTGGCCCAGGGGATTGGAAACCCCTGCCCTAGTGATTCTGTAGGCATAAGAGTACACCACATCGGTCTTTACACATCCTGCAAATAGCTGGGAGGCGTGGCTCATGCCTATAACCCCAGCACTTTGGAAGGCCAATACAGGTGGATCACTTGGGCCCAGGAGTTAGAGACCAGCCTAGGCAACATAGTTAGACCTTGTCTCTACAAAAAATCAAAAAATGAGATGGGAGGATTGCTTGAGCCCAGGAGGTCGAGGCTACAATGAGCTGTGATGGCCCTACTGCATTCCAGCCTGGGTGACAGGAGTAACACCCTCTCTCAAAAAAAAAAAAAAAAGGAAAAAAAAAGGAAAAAACCACCGCATTCTGCAAACTGCATGGAGCATTTGAAATGCACAAACAGGTGTTCCTACCCAACACCTGTCTTGGGGCCCAAGAGTCCTATAAAGACTTAAACCAGACAACTCAAGTCTGATCATGTTCAGACCTGTCTGATGAACCAGACTGGGGAGTTCTCAAAGGTGGCTGGATTGGAGGGAAAGACAATGGATCAGTTGAAAGAAAATCAACCCTGGTCCCTGCCAGGTGAGGGGAAGGGTTTCTTCCTTTACATCCTAAATTCCATCTCTAGAAATATGCCTTATACTCAAACCCTCTCTGAGGGCTATAATATGGATCTTTGCTACAACCAGCCTTGCTTGTTATTTATACATATTCCTCCTAGTCCATGCCAAGAGGCTGTCTGGGCTAACCGAATTAAAAAAAAAAAAAATATATATATATAGATATATATGTATATATACATGTGAAATTTCAAAGTGAGGTGCTAAATCACTGTACATATATGTGTGTGTGTATATATATATATTTTGTTTTTGTTTTTCTGTTAGTCTAAAATCTGTTTTAAAGTTCCTAAATCCCTTATCCCAATACAAAAGGGGTCTGCAGGTGGAGGATAGATAATTTGTGTGGAGATATTTCTGGCTATGAGTCCCCATTCCTCCTTGGGGAAGATTGAAAGGACATTACCTTTAACCACTCAAACCAAGTGACTGGGAAACGGGGCTTCCATGAGAATCTGAGATGCAGAATCCATACTATTGCAGTTAGGGAGTATCGTGACCAGGATATACTTCCTGCCTGTGAAATCTAGCAAGAAGAGACAAGCCTGCTGGCTACTAGGTCCTGTTCAGCAGGGCTTCCTGGAGGTATAAAGGGACCCCAGGAAGAAGAAGCTAGACAAATGGCCATTAATAGATGCCTTTTTAAGGGAACTGCAGGAGAGGGGCCGGTAGTGAACCCCTGAAGAGTGTATAAAAGCACCCCATGATGCTTTGATGATGGATAGAGATGGCTATAAACATCTGCGAGGCCCAGAAAGCACTAAGCCAGCTGTTACACTAGTTCAAAGAAGACTTTCCCCGCCCCCATCTTCCTCTCCATGTTAACATGGAGACATGTTGAGTGACTGAAGTGAGCTGAGGATGACAGAGGGGGAAAAAAAACCCAGCCAT